ATAGGGATGCATTTATTCAATGCATCACTGTGAGGAGATGCTGAATGGTGCAACGTTTTGCAGTGCAAGTGCAATAGCCTCTCAGTGCTGTCCTATGGGAAAATTTTGGATTGGCTGAGATCGTCAAGAGTGATGATCCAATCTCTCCTTTTCCTCTGGCACATTTCCCTCACCCTTCAAACATGCAACCGTAACCCCAATTCTGAAAAAGCCCAACCTTGATCCCAACTCCCCATCCAACTACCGCCCTATCTCGCTACTGCCATTTGCCTCCAAGATCCTCGAGAGAGTTGTGTACGCCAGATTGACAGACTTTCTCGAATCCAACTCTCTGCTTGACCCCCTTCAGTCTGGATTCCGCGCTGGTCACTCTGTCGAAACTGCTGTGACCAAAGTATCCAACGATTTAATTGCTGCTAAATCTCGTGGCCAATACTCTATCCTAATCCTCCTTGATCTTTCTGCCGCCTTTGACACTGTTGATCATCAACAGCTTCTTCACATTCTCCGTAACTTTGGTCTACGGGATACTGCTCTCTCCTGGTGCTCCTCCTACCTCTCCCAGCGCTCTTTCAGTGTTTCTTTCTCTGGCTCTGCCTCTTCTCCCCAACCCCTCTCTGTCGGCGTCCTCGGCCCCCTACTGTTCTCTATCTATATTGCCTCCCTTGGTAAACTCATCAGCTCCTTTGGCTTCCAATATCATTTATATGCAGATGACACACAAATCTACCTGTCCTCCCCTGATCACTCTCCGCCCACCTTGACTCGTGTTTCTGACTGCCTCTCTACTATTTCCATCTGGATGGCTGCTCACTTCCTTAAACTTAACCTGTCCAAAACAGAACTTCTAGTTTTTCCTCCCTCAAGTGCTGCTACTCCTGTGTCTGTCTCCATCCAAGTCAACGGTGCTACTATCACCTCTACCTCGCAGGCTCGCTGCCTAGGGGGTCTTTTTGATTCTGATTTCTCTTTTACTCCCCATGTCCAATCGATAGCCAAATCCTGCTGCTTCCAACTCAAGAACACAGCGCGCATTTGCCCACATCTAAGGTACTGGTTCATGTTGTTGTTCTCTCTCGCCTTGACTACTGCAATCCCCTTCTCACCGGTCTTACATGTTCCCAGCTTGCACTGCTGCAATCTATAATGAATGCGGCTGCTAGGCTTATTTTCCTGTCCAGTCGCACCTCCCACGCCTCCACGCTCTGTCAGTCCCTGCATTGGCTTCTAGTTAGATATAGGGCCCAATTCAAAATTCTGGCGCTTGCTTACAAATCCCTACATAATGCTGCTCCAACATACCTAGCCTCCCTCATACACAAGTATGTCCCATCAATACCCCTGCGCTCAGCCCAAGACCTATGCCTATCCTCTGCCCGAATCCCCACCTCTGATGCTCGCCTTCAAGACTTCTCCAGGGCTGCACCTATTCTGTGGAACTCTCTTCCCTCCTCAATCAGACTTTCACCCAGCCTCCACTCCTTCAAAAGATCTTTGAAAACTCACTTCTTCATTAAAGCGTATCAATTAAACTGTCAGCAGATTTCTCATCCCCCACCCCATGACTCCTTTCCTGCAACTGTCAAAAATGACCTACCAAGCACTCAATAAACCCTTCTCTAACAAACTATGTAATTACCCTACTTTAACCCTTTGTGTCACTTTACCCCACTCCCTCTAGCATGTAAGCTCATCGCGCAGGGCCCTCAACCCCCTCTGTTCCTGTACGTCCAGTGGTCTGATCTCAATTATGTGTCTGTTAGTCCACCCATTGTACAGCGCTACGGAATTTGTTGGCGCTATATAAATAAAAAAAATAATAATAATATCAGCTATGGAGCTCTAGACAGGGTCAACCGTGGCAAGACTGGTTCGACAAGGGAGAAAAGAGAAGTTTAATCACCTTGTTTTTCTAAAGAGACAGGGGTCGGAGACCCTAAAAGATTATCCGACACTATAGCGTTAGGAATATGTGTGTTCCTTTAAGGGAAAAGTGCCTCTGTCAGTCTGGCACTCCCCTCCAAGATTAGTATTTTATTAGGCAGGTGGTTTTAATGTTGTGTCAGATCAGTGTATATACATACAGATCAAAGATCTATATACATACCCTGGGTGATTGCACATTTGCATAGTGAGAAGGAGGGAGAGGAAAGCCAGGAGGCTATCTGTCTTCTCCTCCACCAGGTCCTCTCTGTCTAGCGACACCCAGCTGTCGAGTGTTGCTGCAGCTACGAAAACCACGAGAACAGCATGGTCAGCAGGCAGGAGCCTCTAGATACCACCAGATCACCAGGGAATGTAGTGTCTGGCCAGAGGTAATGGCAGGGAGGGGGCTACATATTAAATTTAAAAAAAAATTAATAAACGGTGTCCCTCCCTCCCCTCTTACAACACACACTGCATACACCACGTAAACACTCCATTCACTGTACACACTACATACACCACATACGACATCCACTGTGTCTTCCCCTCTCACAACACACAGACGCATACACCATAAAACACACACTGCATCAACCACATAAACACTCCATTCACTGTACACACTACATACACTATATATAAATACTGCATACACCACACACTGCATCCCTTAAATTAAACACCACACAATGCATCCACTACACACACACTGCATCTAATATATACACACACAGCACTCCTTACACACACACACAACACTCCTTACACACACACACTACACACACAACATCCCCTATATAAACACACACCTCATCCAATATATACACACTTTACACATACAAATCCTCCCTGAAACACATACATTACATCCCCTGTAAACACATACTGCATCACCTACTGTGTCTGCAAGATGGTGTTGAAACGAGTGGCACTACAGGCGTTCTCTGGGCCTGCCTTGTGGGCAGACTTGGGGCATGGTCCAGGGGTCCAGGCCTTGGACTCTGTAAGGTGCATCAAAATGTCTATTGGCCACCCTGGTTCACATTATAGTTTTTTTCATTACTTATTCAATTTTTTTTTTCCTATGCCAAAACAACTGTATGGCACTCTATTAAACATGCTAAAGAATGTTAGACCTTAGCATATCACTTATCCCAGCTATACCTGCAGGCTCATATCTGCTATTTACCTTGTGTTGTGCTTTTTAACACTTATCTCAGGAAGTTAAGCCAGTGGGATGAACATAGGTATGCTGAGAAGAGAGCCATGATAGTTAATATCATGGATTGAAAAAAAACATGTACATGAATTCAGCATCAATGTGACTTTTTACTCAGCCTAATTAATTAAGGGTCTAAAGTTTAAGAGAACATAACAACTCAGTAGCAAATAATTTAATTTTTTTTTTTTTTTAAAGTCCAAAGAGAAGATCTCTTATTTTACCAATATCGTTAAAAGGACAGTGTTTCTTCAGAGAGCAAAATATCAACTGGATGTGGGGGAACATTTCTCACATGTGAATTCTCTTATCCATTTGATAAATAAAGGCCATTATGGTAGAATTAAGTTAATGGTCTCCAATGAATTGCTTGATTACACTGCGTAACAGGTTAAATGAGGTCGTTCCAGCAGCAATGACCATTGATTTAAGTAGAAATTAGATGTGACTATTTTAACCAGAGATATATCAATGTTTCTTAAGGTGTATTACTCATAAGTCGCATATAAATTTAACTAAAAAGATGCCTAAAATTTGTATCTTATTCCTGACAATTTCCAGTTTAATGAATAATGCTCTTCACATATCAAATGTTTATTTGATTTCAGCACAATAATATTACACAGATCACAGTTTACACTTACTCAATCACTATTCCTGATGACATTCACCTATATACAACCACTGATGTGGTTATGGTGCTTGAAGTGTCCCAGAGCCATGAAGGTGTAATCTGTTGCACTGCTTTAGCATGATTTGGCACTTATTTGCAGGTTTGCCCTCAGAAATTTTAGGGCCCCTAACACTGTTTAAGGTATGGGCCCCCAGGGCCCACCTCCATATCTGCCCACAGAGCCCACCTCCAAGCCTGCCCACAGGGCCCAGCTCCAATTCCACCCACAAAGATGCATTGTGTGTTTGGTGGATAGAAGATTTGTGTTTTGTGGATGCAGTGTGTGTAAAGTGGACATGGCATGTGTTAGTGCATTTGTAGTGGATGCAGATGCAGTATGTACATATTGTATATATATATATATTTATGTATATATATATTCAAGCAGGTCTAGGTCCTCACTTCGCGTTCAGGAATGATTTGTTCCAGTAGCCCACTTGTCGTCAGATGAACTAGAAAGAAGAAGAACTAGAAAGAATGTGGAAAATGAAGGCAGAAGTAGTCCTAGTTGTAATAGGAGCACTCGGGCTGTGATTCCTAAGTTGGTGGAGTGGCTTCAACAGACTCCAGGTGAGACATTTGAAATCACTGTCCAGAAGAGTACAGTTCTAGGAGTTCTAGGAGTTCTAGGAAGATACTGCGCAGAACCCTCAAACTCCCAGGCCTCTGGTAGAGGTCCCAAGAATGAGGAATAAACATACCACCCAGGATGGGTGAGAAAAAACAATTAAAATTTTATATATATATATGTGCTTGGTGCTAAACCACACAAAAAAACAAACAAAAATGCATGAAAAGGGCAGCACTCCAAGAACTTAAACAAAAAAGTAGTTAAAAATAATACTTAGCTTTCATTAGTATATCATTAAAAGGTGCCAACATTTCAGTACCGACAATTGAACTTTCATCAGGACAAAGTACCTGTCCTGATGAAAGTTCCATTGGCCAGTGGCGTACATACCGGGGTCGCAGGGGTCGTGGCTGCGACCGGGCCCGGCGCACCAGGGGGTCCGGCCGCCCTGCGACCCGGTATGTATGCCACACACTCTAACACACACACACACTCTAACACACACACACATTTAAACAAAAAAATAAATAATCCCCCAGCCTCCCTACCTGTGGGAGAGCTGATGGGATTCCCTAGAGTCCAGTGGTGACAACCGGCGGGCAGGCTGGCGGGCGCGCGAGGGAGCACTCTCCCCTGTGTGCTCCCTCTTCAGCTCCCTCACACACCGCACTGATACTGGAGCCGGAAAACTTCATCTTCCGGCTCCAGCATCAGTACGCGGCGCGCAAGGGAGCTGAAGAGGAAGCACTCAGGGGAGAGTGCTCCCTCGCGCGCCCGCCAGCCTGCCCGCCGGTTGTCACCACTGGACTCTAGGGAATCCCCTCAGCTCTCCCACAGGTAGGGAGGCTGGGGGGATTATTTATTTTTTTGTTTAAATGTGTGTGTGTGTTAGAGTGTGTGTGTGTGTGTGTGTGTGTGTTAGAGTGTGTGTGTGTGTTAGTGTTAGAGTGTGTGTTAGTGTTAGAGTGTGTCAGTGAGTGTGTTACTGTGTGTGTCTGTTACTGAGTGTGTTAGTTTGTGTGCGTCTGTTGGTGAGTGTGTGTTTTGTAAGTGAGTGAGTGTGTGTCTGTCTGTCAGTGAGTGTGTATGTATGTCTGTCACTGAGTGTGTGTCTGTCAGTAAATGTGTGTGTCTGCGTCTGTTCATGAGAGTGTGTGTCTTAAGCACTTACCTTTCTCCAGCGAAGTACTCCCTTGGCGCTGGGGATCTCTCCGCAACGATCAGCCTCTCAGCTCCGAATGCGCATGCATGGCAAGAGCCGCACACGAATTCAAACCGACCTATAGGAAAGCATTACTTAATGCTTTCCTATGGATATTCAGCGTCTTCTCACTGTGATTTTCACAGTGAGAATCGCAGAATCTCCTCTAGCGGCTGTCAATGAGACAGCCACTAGAGGCTGGATTAACCCTTAGTGAAACATAGTAGTTCATTGAGCTGATGTGATCTGGGTGTCTGTAGTGGTCCTTTAAGTGCATGTATATCTGCATGCACTGGCGTACACACCACGGTCGCAGGGGTCGCAGCCCTGTGACCCCTGCGACCAGGTTCCCGCCGCCATGTGTTGCGGCCCCAGCCCGCGCAGAGTAAGCACACGGGGGAGGGGCATGGATCAGTTTTCGCACTGGGGCCCCATGGGTTGTGTGTACGCCACTGCCATTGGCGGAACTGAAACGTTGACACCTTTTAATAAATATATATTCACAGTGAGGGGAAAAAAGTATTTGATGCCCTACTGATTTTGATAGTTTTTCCACTGACAAAGAAATGACCTGTCTATAATTTTAATGGGACGTGTATTTTAACAGTGAGAGACAGAATAACAGAATAACAAAAAAAAAAATCCAGAAAAACTAATGTCAAAAAAGTTATAAATTGAGTTGCATGTCAATGAGTGAAATAAGTATTTGACCCCTTCAACTTAATACTTGGTGGCAAAACCCTTGTTGGCAATCACTGAGGTCAGATGTTTCTTGTATTTGGCCACCAGGTTTGCACACATCTCAGGAGGGAGTTTGTCCCACTTCTCTTTGCAGATCCTCACCAAGTCTTTAAGGTTTTGAGGTTATCTTAATGTGCTTTTTCTTGAGTCACTCCTTTGTTGCCTTGGCTGTGTGTTTTGGGTCATTATCATGCTGGAGTTTTGTTCCGGCTGTGCGGCCAGGTACTGCCGCATTGTGGCGTGTCCTGCAGTGTGGAAGGGCCCCGAAGGTTTAGGGGTGCCCATTTTCAATGCTCTGGCTGAAGGAAGGAGCCATTTTCAATGCTCTGGCTGAAGGAAGGAGGTTCTCTAAGATTTGACAGTCCATCGTCCCTTTGATGCGGTGCAATCGTCCCTTTAAAGCCTAATATTTCCACCTCCATGTTAGACGGTGGGAATGGTGTTCTTGGGGTCATAGGCTGCCTTGAGATCATTAACAAGATTCTGCTGTTTAGTTCTGGACTGATTCCTCACCGTTCTAATGATCATTAAAACTCCATGAGTTGAGATCTTGCATGGAGCACGAGACCGAGGGAGACTGACAGTTATTTTGTGTTTCTTCCATTTGCGAATAATCACTTCAACTGTTGTCACCTTCTCACCAAGCTGCTTGGCGATGGTCTTATAGCCCATTTCAGCCTTGTGTAGGTCTGCAAGTTTGTCCCTGACATCCTTGGACAGCTCTTTGGTCTTGGCCATGTACCATCAAATCTTGGGTGAGAACCTCCTTCCCTTAATCAGAAGGTTCGAGTTGCCAAACGTCAGCCTTGAAACCTTAATGATTTGGAGAGGAGTGGGACAAAATCCCTCCTGAGATGTGTGCAAACCTGGTGTACAACTACAAGTAACGTCTGACCTTTGTGATTGCCAACAAGGGTTTTGCCACCAAGTACTAAGACGAAGGGGTCAAATACTTATTTCACTCATTGACATGCAAATTAATTCATAACGTTTTCACATGCGTTTTTCTGGATTTGTTTTTGTTATTCTGTCTCTCATTGTTAAAATACACCTGCCATTAAAATTATAGACTGATAATTTCTCTGTCAGTGGATAAATGTTCAAAATCAGCAGGGGGCGTGGCCTAGCAGCAGAGTTGAATGGCGGCTTAAAAGCTGAGCTCCTCCGACCCCTACACTGCCGATTAGCAGCCACAGCACAGCACCAGAAATAGCAGCCACAGCACGAGAAATGGGGAAGCATACCAAGACGGGGGGCACCCCTAAACCTTCGGGGCCCTTCCACAAAGCAGGACACGCCACAATGCGGCAGTACCTGGCCGCACAGCCAGAACAAAACTCCACAGGGGACAGCCGAGGCCTGCTCACACTCCGGAGCCTCGATGCCAAGCTCCTGCTCGCCGGGGCGGGAAGACAGGGTGGACACGCCAACAACAGACTGGCTCACCTTACTAAAAGCCTTACCCACCCGAGAGGACCTAACTCAGGTGACCTCGGCCCTCCATGCATCCATAATAGCCGACCTGCAGCGGATGAGAACTGATAAGCAGGGAATGGCGGACCGCATGGCCCGTGTGGAAGCCGACCTTGATGTCTTAATGACGGCACAAACCTCAACCACCGCAGCACAGAAGCACCAAACCGTACAGCTGTAGGCAATGGCCCGCCACATAGAGGACCTTAATAACCGTGGGCCGCAGGCAAAACCTGAGACTGAGAGGTCTACCAGAAGGGTAGGAAACCCCCGCACAACTCAGGCACTGGCTTACCACCATATCCAATGGCCTCCTAAACCAACCCAAAGACACACATATTGAATTCATCTGAGCACACCGAGCCCTGCGGCCCAGAAGCCCACCAGAATCGCCACCACGAGACGTGATATGCTGCTTGGCCCTACACTCCCTAAAAGAGGATATCTTATATGGATCATGTAACCAAACCACCATCACCCATGAGGGCCACCAACTACAACTATTCCTGGACCTCTGCCCGGCCACCCTGGGATACCGCAGAGCCCTGAAACCACTCACCCGAGTCCTGGCAGCACAGAAAGTGCATTATAGATGGAACTTCCCAACTAGACTGACGGCAATCACACCGGGAGGACCCAAATAAATCCGCACCCAGCAGGACATGGCCCTCCTCCATCAGAGCCGGAAATACCGCTGATGCAGAGATGGAACAGAGCCAGAATGGAAACCGTGTGACCAGCCGGAACCCCACGCTACGCCCTACATACCAACCGAAAACCAGGGCTGCTGGGTGCGAGGCGACCTAACATACAGTCACTACCTCGCTACCGATCAGCCCAGGGTCAAGGGGAGCCCCTCCCCACTTAAAATGACAAGCTAGAGGCCCACTAAGGCAGACCCCTACACCTTAGCCTTACAGTCCTACTCAACGAGCCTAAAAGCCATGCAGCCCCGACACGAATCATCACCCTGGGTTAGACACCCTGCATACCCCCACCACCCCACAGTAACTTAACCGCAGGGCCCAAACCACTAAGCCTGACAGCCCCACACACCCACCACCAGAGGGGAAACCAAATCTAACAAAATAAAGGGGTTCCCGGGATGCTGGGCAGACATTTAAAGGGGGGAAATGCCCCCCCTGATGTAATAGTTATCTCCTGATGTGGCTATACAGCTTCGAGGCAGGGGGATCAGGGGGCGACGGGGGAATACTGTTATATTATATATATTGAAAAAGTGGAAAACACCCAGAATACGTGTAGGTTACTATATAAAATATACAACAACCTGATGGAAAGTGAAATCCGTATGAATTATGTGTGTAAATCACAAAGAGCGTATCTCTCAATAACTTGGAACTCCATGCAATGTTGTTATCAATCCAGGAATAGGGATGAACAGGAGTAGTTATAAATGAGTAGCCAAAAATACAAATAAAACAATTAAAACAATATAAAATAAGTCCAATATAGAAATCCAACGCGTTTCGTCCTGTAGGGTGTAGGACTTCATCAGGGATACTTATTTTATATTGTTTTAATTGTTTTATTTGTATTTTTGGCTACTCATTTATAACTACTCCTGTTCATCCCTATTCCTGGATTGATAACAACATTGCATGGAGTTCCAAGTTATTGAGAGATACGCTCTTTGTGATTTACACACATAATTCATACGGATTTCACTTTCCATCAGGTTGTTGTATATTTTATATAGTAACCTACACGTATTCTGGGTGTTTTCCACTTTTTCATTATTTCACATTGTTTCTTGGGTGTCTGTGAGGTACACCTAGGAATTCTTCCAGTTATA